TTTCGATGGCAGGTCGGCATGCTACATGTTCTGAAGGCTATAACTGGTGAACGTTCCACCGCATAAAGAAAAGCTTACGTGGAAAGATCGATAGGCAGCTCGGGCCTCAGCGATACCGTATTGAAGCAAAAAGTGGTTGTAAAGTGAATGACGATCAGCTGTCTATTGGTGGACAGCGGCGGAAAAACTGATATTTGACCTCGCATGACCACATCTTCAGCCCACTGACCACACAACAAATCAGGGTGAATGGAATCGTCATAGCATAGCATACTAAAGTGGAAAAGACATGCAGTTCGGTTTACTGACCAACAGTGGCAGGTAGCCATCGCTCAGTGGTGCAACTGAAATAGTAAAAGATCGCTTGGTCGTTCTCTATGAAAGTGAAGCACTTTTATCCGCATCACCGTTGTGGCAGACGAGGCCAAAAATAGTAGTGATGAGTGAAGACCAGTCCATCAGCTAGTTGAATACCGATTAATTAAGAATCAAGCTCCTGTCAAAGGGATCATTTGACGCATCTATAACTGCATGACCGCTATAACCTGTAATATGACCTGTCGTTCCTCCAAAGTGGTACCGACCTGTGTATTTTCCTCAGAAGAGTTAAAAACGAATGACGTGACCGAGGTTAAGCGCTCAGTTTTTCAGCTGAGTCCAGCGTTCTACCCTCTTTAAGGATTTTGTACCTTCAATCAGAATCATTTCAGTTTGACTGTCCAGATCTTCTGCTTTGCCGTTGAAACTGCATGAAATGAGTACGTAAAAGTTTTCTTGCGTTGAATTTAAGCGCAAGTCCTGCGCATCACATTGCTGGATTTCATTAGCAACGCCAAATTATGCAGTCAGCTGATTCAGCATATGTAACATACAGTAGGGGAAAATTGTTCGTGCATCAGAAGCATTTGCCACGGAAAAGATATTCTCATAAGTAGTAAGTGTTTGGGTCATGATCCATGTCAATGTCCCAGAAACAGGGAAATGTTCTCCATGCATCATCTACACTGTGAATGGAGAAAAACGTTTCTACTGCGCACGCACACTCGGCATCCTCATCTTCAGCGAGAGTACTATCGAGCCAGAGTCAAATAGGCGGATCGTCCAAGCCTCTAGTGGTTGTTGATCCCATGCCCAATACTTGGGTTAAAAAATAAATATCTCTTCCAAAAAATTCGCCTGTACCTTGCCTCTCTCAGGCAGCTTTGTTTTAACAGCATGGATACAGTTGTGCTGAAGAAAGAAAAAGAATGAAGACTGAACTGAGTACTGCAGCTTTGGCTTCGCCGCATAATGAGCATCAATTACAGGACCATATAAGGGATGACTCAATTCTGTTACTGGCACAAGTAGCCTCAGTAAATGAGAAGATTTAACAGAAAAAGGTTGGCCGTATTAGACGAAGTGGTTGAGCTTAAACCGTTTATTCCAACCCGTTAGCTCTTCATGTGCGAGACAAAATAGGACGGACATCAGCCAGGAGGCTAGCATGCAACGTTGAGAAATAAAGAGAAACAGATATGCCTTCCTAGAGAAGTATTTACCTTCATCGATGCAGTAATCAGTCAAAAGTGTCTCATTTCAAAAGTGTTGAAGACCTCCAAATACCGCTGACATCGATCAGAAGCGTTCTGACCAGAGAAATGCCTCAAGGAGGTGGTTTCAACAACATACTACCTTATAAAAGACTCAGAATCGCTACATGACAGATGAAATGGCATTTTATCAGATTGCCAGTACCTTCAAATCGTTAGCTGCCACTTTCGGATATGACCTGCACAAAGTCTTGAAACGTTGAAGTCCAACATGCCTTATTTCTGCATATTCTGAGAACAGTTCCTTGTTAGCCGCCAGGAAGGAGTCGTAAGCCTCGTCCGGTATTTTCGTCTTCTTCCTTATACTGCCGGAAGGCCGTATTTTGCATACTTGTTTCGGTTGTTGATTCTGCTTGACTGTGGGAACCGAAGTCAGGAGTTCTGTACTTCGC